AATATGTATTTTTAAAATTAATTCTAAGTTCATCACATCTCTCTTAATAATTGCTACTTCTCAAAATTTCCCATTAAAAAATAGACCATATACCATATAAAATAAAATAATTGAAAGATCGGGCTACGGAAAATCACACAAATTTTCGGAAAAATTTTGACACCTGCACACGCACACAATCGTCAATTATTAAAAAAAAAACTACTATTTTAGTATTTTAAATATTTTAATAAACGCAAAAATAGCACAGTATTTAGAAGGCAAGTTATAAAAATTTGGAAGAACTAATAATGCACTGACGCACACAAAAATCAAACGAATACTAAATTTAATTTATCAAAAACATTCGATAGTCGTAGCTCAACGATAACTATTTAGTCACACGGCGAGGTTGTCACATATGCTTTAGTATACAAATGAATGAATGATTTTATTCGAATAACCATTCGATAGTTGAAATCTTTCATTCAGTAACCATTCGATAACCATTCGTTCCCATCGCTAGTCTCTATATCAGAAGAACCTAGTTCTGCACTAGACTGCGAATGATATGTATTCGAACAGCGAATTTTTATCACTTATATATAAATTTTAAAATAAATCTCTGCGTTTAGCGGTCTAATGGATTCACATGAAATTACTTCAAAAATCGGCCCAACATTTAAATTGATGAATAGATATTTTTATATACTTTTATAACATTTACAATTACTTTTCGATTTAATATCTGTTATATCTTTTATAGAAATATTTTTTATAGTTTTCTAGGACACATTTTTATAACTTTTACAGTTATTTTTTGATTTATAATAAAGTTTCAATAAATTATTTTTTTTTATTTAAATCACATGATTAAAATTTAAAAAATCGCTTGATTTAAATCACGATTTAAATTTATTACCCTGCATTTTTCTATCCCCAATCAAGTGTGGCTTTTAAATAAACTATAAAATAATAAAAATATAATGAAATTATACTTTACGGCTTAAATTAAGAAAAATTCAATGTTTAAGTAAATTTTCGTTTTTCTGAAAAGTGGTAAGAGACCGCCAAAATAAAAGGATTCGTAATCCACGACCTCAAAATAGGATGTATACAAATTTTTGTGAAAATCGGACGATTTCCAGTTTTTTCAATAATTACCGAAATAGTTATCGTATACGCATTTCTCAGCAAGGGGAGTAAATTCAAACTAGCATTACCGTAACTACTAAATACACATTTTCGGTTGGCGTCAGACATTATTCTTTTATCCCCTCCCCTCGAATACATGGTGAATTTTAGATACTTAAGTGTAAATACCATGATCAAAAAAAAAACGGTAAAATCAAATGAGGAATGTCAACGATCGTCATTACAAAACCATTTTTTTTAACATACGATATTTCTAGGGACGGTATATTTTGATGCCACGACTATGCCCAGGCTATGAGTTTTTTTGTGCGAAAAAAAAATTGAAAAGTATATTTCGAAATTTATTTGGAAAATAATATCCAATTATATCTAGTTAAAAAACATAATACTGTATTGTGTAGACGACACTATATTGGATTTGAGAACTCGTGGGAATTTTTAGAGAAAAAAACGGAAAATTTTGACCGTCTTCGTGGGAAATACTACTTCAGAAAGCTGGCAACACTGGTTGTCAACTTAATATTTGTTATATTTTTTTAACACCGTGTATAATCGATAAATTCTTATAAAAATTTAAGCAGAGTAACAATTTTTTTAAAAGGCAAGCAACATAAATTTGTGAAAAAAAACAAGGATAAAACACATTAATATTTAAAAATATTTAATTATCAATCGCTCTACAATGTAATTTTTGACAAATAATTGAAATTATTTCAAAAACGGCTAAACTTAGATTATAACAATATACACGAAATGTACAAAATACGAAATGTATACACGAAATTACAAAAGAATTCGAAAATAAAAAAAATATTGAGGGTGTTCTATTTACAATAAGTAATTTGGCACCAACAGCCGGGTAATCAGAAGCCAGAAGGTGGAAAAGATTTTAGAAATAAAATTAAAATACCTGGAAATCAACTTAAAACATTCAAATTTGTGTATAAATTAGATCCTATTTTTTTAGAATTGACCAAGTTGCGTAAACTGCTCTGTATATTTAACTACAATATGTCCCCGGATTGTCTTTATAAGAGGAAAAACCGAGGGAAAAACTTTTTTATATTGACATTTTGAGAAAAATGCATTCTTCGTAAAAATTTTTGCTTGTTCTAAATTGTTAATCTCGTTTATACTTTTTCAAATTTCCTCACAGTTGTAGAGAGAATTAACATGGTTGAATGTCTTAATGATTTTGTTAATTTCCTTGTTTAATTCCTGAAAATCAAAAGGCTTTTCTAAGGTAATATAATTTCGATTTCATTCTTTAACACATGGTTATATTAATTTTGATTAACGTCATTTTTTTACCGTTGTTCATAGATAAAAGACCATAGATAAAGAAATAAATTTAGATTGGAAAACCCGTTAAAATATATAATTGTTTTGGGTCGCGACCGTTGTCAAAGTCAGGATCTTCAATATTATAAAACCTTTCCAAATTTAAACCGCTCTCATTGAAAAAATACCGAAGTGTTTAAAGCGTCCATTCTCAAAGTAATTATTGCTATATATCTTGTGAGTTTAATTTAAATTTTACTTACTCAAACCCGTGATAATTGTGAAAACGTGTCATTAAAAACTAAAAAACTAATAACGTCGGTTTCCAATGTTTCATAGGTATTTCATATAATGTCCTTATATAAAATAAAGTTTCTTGTATGCAACGCACTGTATTTTATTTATACAATTAAAAGAAAATAATCATAAATTTGAATAAACAATATTTGGCGACATAATTCCGGAAAAAGCCGAGCCGATTCGAAATTATCAAAAGCTTTGGGTCGCGACCGTTGCAAGAATAGCGCCAAATAGTGTTTACATTGTCCTTATGGACACTTTCCAATCTAAACTTGTTTCATTTATCTATGTAAAAGAATTATAATTTGTTGTTAAAGTGCTACATTTTCCGATAACTATTGTCACCCTTTCCGTAGCATTCAACTAAATAGATTTTATGCTTCTTTAACATCTTAAACAGCAAATTATATGACGTTAATTAAAATTCTATCAATAACAATTTATTAAAGAATGAAAGAGGAGTTAAGCCTGATTTTCATGGGTCCGTTGTCCGACGATACGATGATACGATATTAATTTTATTGGCTGAATTTAAAGGCTTCGATTTGTTAACAGTTTCTAACCAATCGAAGTTTTCAAATTCAACCAATAAAATTAATATCGTATCATCGGATAACGGATAACGGATGCATGAAAATCAAGCTTTAGGCCGGGGCTCAACATAGCTGCACGCATAGAGCGACGCGTATAGCGTAAGGAGACGGCGCGGCGGCGGCGGAGAGGAGTGTGTACAATGGCCCCATATGTCGCGTGTGTTTTTTTGGCGGATTTTAATTCTTAAGCTAGGCGCAATTTGAGTAGCGTGTATCGCGTGTAACATAATCTGACATGACATGGCGCGACTAGCATGACGCGACGCGCCAGGCGCATTGCTTGGTGGTCCGCAAATTGGGACGCAGTTTTTCAGTGACTCACCTTTGCGATCGTATAAAAATGGCTGCATAAAAATGTCTGATTCGTCATCGACACATTTATTGTTACTAAATTTTAGTTCTGAATCAGAATCAGATGATGCCAAAGTGTAAATTTTACTATATTCAATACTCTAAATTAATGCACGTGAACGCGAGGCACGCGTCAGGTAACGAGGGTCACGTCACGCTGCCGATTTGCGCTGTCCCATTTATTTCTGTAGTTTACAAAAACTCGCGTCGTGCCAGGTCATATCACACGCGATAGATGCGACTCAATTTGCTGTTAGCCTTAATACAAAATAGGCTAAGGACATAGTGGAGCGACGAGGATAGCGGCGAGCAAGCAGCGCGATACTGCGTCGAGCAAGCCTCGAGGTGCTGAAACATAGTGGAGCGGCGAGGAATAGCGAGATACTTGTGCAAATTTATTATTTTCATTTGCTTATTGATAATTTAAAATGTTAACAATGGCTAAAATTCTGGGCAGTAGTGTCGCAAACATTTGGTTAGATGAAGTTTTCAAAAACCCTAGAAAGTATGGCAAGTTTTATAACCTTTACGAAAATTTGTTGCCACTTCATCTCATAACTTATCTAAAATGTACCGGTTATAGTGATTACTATCTTTCTGATCCCATAAAATCTCTCTTACAAATACTAAATTTATTAATTTTTGAGAATCTATCATTTTCTACAGCGCGACGAGAACAAAATTATTTGAATCGATCTCGCCGCCCGATCTAACCTCTCGAGCAGATCGCTTAACTATGTTCGCACGTACTTGTCTTCCCAAGTTTGTTTTGGACGCGATGTCGGATGTCGCGCTGCTTGCTCGCCGCTATCCTCGTCGCGCCACTATGTTCTTAGCCATAGACGTCAATCCGCGTCGTGTTCGCTATATGTGGGACCACTTTTTGGGAAAAAATTCAATTATATTTTCATGTTTTTTTTAATTTTTACTTCAAACGGTATAGAAATTTGGATAAGTATAATCGGGATTAACCATTTTAAAACAAGCAAAGTTTTTTATGTAGAATGCATTTTTTTTTTCAAAATATCAATAATAAAAAAGTTTTTCCTCTTGTAATGACAATCCAGGGACATACTGTAGAATTATTGCATTTAATATTACATTTAAAAAAACATAATTGAAATAAAAACTAAAATAAGTTTAGTTTTTATAATGAAACAGGCTTTTACTTTGACAGAAAATTTTATATTATGTGATGAGAATTTTATATCTGCCATGATACAACGCACACTTGATCATAAAAATATTTTTGATCACATTGTATTTATTTTCAAGACATTAAATTAAAATATTAATAAACCTATTGGTTGTTATGGCTACCTGGAAATAAAAATATTTTAGGTTTGAAATTTTATACCCCTGAAGAATATTTCCTAAAACACCGAGCAGCGCCTTTCAAAATGCCAGAATTTGATCCTAGAATAGACACTAGTCATCTCTCGTATCCAGATATATCATTTAACAAACAAAACGTTGTCGTTATGGTTGGGGGTCCAGGATCAGGTAAAAGCAATTTTGTGAAAGATACTTTAATACCTATGGGATATGTTCATGTTAGTCGAGACCAATTGGGCAGTTGGCAAAAATGTGTAAAAGTTATGGAAGAGGCTCTGGATAAAAACAAAAACGTTGTAATCGATAACACAAATGTTGATAAGGAAACTAGGCAAAGATTTATTCAACCTGCAAAACAACGTAATATAGATATCAGATGTTTTATAATGGACGTATCGATATCGCAGATGAGACATAATAATCTTTTTAGAGAAATTACTGATCAGTCTCATGCTATCGTGAGTGATATAATAATATATAGCTACCGTAAAAATTATCAAGAGCCAGATCTGTCTGAGGGTTTTGCTCAAATTTTAAAAATTCCTTTCATTGGCAAATTTACTAACAAATCCCATGAGAAACTCTATAAAACATTTTTACTAGATTGAAAAATTAATTGTCAAATTTAAGACTATTTTATTTCCTAAATTCTTATGTTTTTTTTATTTAATAAAAGCTGAGTATTTCATAATAAAACGTTTTATTCCACCTTTTCACCTTGTAAATACTTATATATTACAGAAAAATCTTTTTTTGCTAGTCCATATGTAATCAACGTTCTGAAAAGCTGATGAGACATGGCAGCTAGTGGAATTGGTGCATTTATACTTAAAGCAGCATCACCAGCCAGTCCTGAAATTAAAAATTCCTAGAGTAAATGTCTATGCGATGAAACTTAATATAAAATATTGGTAAATTAATATTAGCACAGGTAACAGAATATGTTGTGTGATATCGTTAAATTCAACTAGGATACTATTTTAGTGTTGGGCAATACGATTCCTTTTAGCGAATCTAATCAAAGGATTCAATTTCTCATACTGAACTACGATTCGTTCATTTGAACGAAATACATACACATTTTACATAACAGTATAGATATTTTTTGTAAATAGTGTTACATTTTTACTGGGTTCTGCTTGTTTATTTAACACTAAAGAACACAACAAGAAACTATATAATAGGTATACTTAAAAAAATAAATTGTTAAATTTATTTACAAATATTTATATAACTAATTTATTTTTGAATTTACCGTGACCGCAAGCAACCGACATTCGGAATAGTCTGTCAATGGCCCTTTACACAGTGGCTATCGCTGCTTATAGAAGTGAAATAAATAGTCCAGAAGGTTCTCGATTGCATTATTTAGATGCGAGGCGAAGGTCACCTTCTTCTGAATTCTCGTCCCTTTTCGTGTAAGCGTTGATTGAAAGAATTGGGAAGATACGCAACCTATAATGGGCGAATTCGTGACAAGGCTGATTTGATTTTCCCTTGCGTCTCACGTGCTGTACGGTGGAACATCTGCGGCCAACGCATAAAACACTTATTTTCTCTAATTCTGCCGGCGAAAGCTATCGAAGACGGTGTGGAACTGAAAGCGACAGTGTTGCCATATTAAAATGTGTAAAATCTGTAATATATTTGACGAAAATACCTTTGGATGAAAAATCTGCGTTTATGAAGTCAACTGTATTTATCCGCCAACTTTGACGCCGTTCTTTGTTTAATCATATATTATATCAAATTGTTTAATGATAGAAATTCCGTATTATTAACGTACTCTACCCAAAATCCATAAATCTACGGATTAATCAGTAGTTCTGGCAACACTGTTTTCGGCACTCTGTCGACTGAAACCAGAACTACGGTGTCTACGGTTAAGCTAAACTAAATCTCCTCGGACATGTTTTCTGCCACGAAATCGCCCATAAGGTTGCGCATGTTATTTCTTCAATCAACGGTATAGTGGACGCCTAAAGGTTGATTCTCACTGTACCTTCCGTTTCCATTCTATATTCGTTCTGTATGTTTTTTGTATTGACGCAATACGTAAGCTTCCGTTCCGTATCAGTTCCATACTTTTTATTTTACAATTTATATCATTACGAAAATTTTACTTTAAAAATTTGTATCTATTAAAAAAGGTAATAGAATTAATTAAGAGGTGAAAGAATAAACAAATATAAGCAAAATGTTAACAGAGCTGGTCCAAATGTAAGAACTTGATAACGTTGTTTCCGATACGCTTCAGTCTGTCCGCCAAAAAAATGTATGAAACGGAAGGGAAACGGAACGGATAGTGTCCATTGTCTTATTTATTTACATGATATAATATTTTATGTAAACGGAAAGAAGCTGATATGGAAGTGAGTATAGTGAGATCAAACTTAAGTGGACGCCGGTGTCACAACGGTGTGGACGCCGTATACGGTGCGATTCTCAATATAACGTACCGTTACCGTCACGTCTGGCGGTAATTTTAACGATGTTGCGGGTAGTGTGAATATGTTCATTGCTGGCCATTTAAGAATAATTACCCTGGTGGCCGGCGGCGCGCGGTGGCTCGACGTGACACTGGCGGGACGTTATAGTGAGAATCGCGCTTAAACAATTGGAAATTTTAGCGCTGTTGTCAGATGGTACTTATCACGCTATAATCGCTCGAATCGAAATAGCTTTGAATACTTGTAAAAAGAATAATGTCATTAACTTAAGAGCCATTACTTATAATTCTCAATTTGCGTCTAGCCGGACCGTGCAACGTTACAACACGCAGTTCTGCATACGTATTTGTGTTCGATGGAGCGGCGGAACTAAATAATGCCTAGCTATGGTTCCATTGGTAAGGCGGTGGTTTGGTTCGTCCAATATGTTTAATTAATGCAAGCGCCAAACTGTTAGAATGTCTTCTGAGGGATAGACTGGAGAAAGAACTGGAGGATGGAAACAGACTACACCCAAACCAATACGGGTTCCGCAGAGGCAAATCTACGATAGACGCGTTAAACATTGTTACGAGTAACGTAGACCGTATTAAAACAAAATCGTATAAGAACAGGGGATACGCGGCACTGCTTACATTAGACATTAAAAACGCATTCAATTCTGCCCCATGGACAGGAATTGTTGAACAATTAGGGAGCATGAAGATCAGTAAATACCTCATCGTTATGATTAAGTCTTTCTTGTCAAAAAGATATGTAATTGCAGAAAACGGCAAAAAACACAAGATGACGTGCGGGGTACCGCAGGGGTCCATTCTAGGACCGACCTTGTGGAACATCTTCTACGACCAGATCCTGAGGGTCGATATTGGACCAGGTAATCTACTGATTGCTTATGCGGATGATCTGGCTGTCCTGATCACCGCTCCGACCATCACTATCTTCGAAGAAAAGATACAAACGGCTGCCCTAACTATAACCAATAAGTTGGATAGAATGAGAATAGAGAACTAGTCGTTCTCGTAGGACATCGCAAGACGACGAACTTAAATATCCAATTGGGAAATTGCCACATCAGACCTCAAAAGGCAATAAAATATATGGGCGTTTGGCTTGATTCCGGGATGCGCATGACTACACATGTCCTTAAAATCAGGGACAGGACGGTTGATACCATCAAACAGCTGACCAGAATCACTTCCAATATTAGAGGCCCCAGTGACGGAAAGAGGAGAATGCTTGCCTCGGTTGTGCATTCGATGATCCTGTACGCCTCGCCCATTTGGAGCAGGGCAACAGATTATAAATACTATGAAAAAGTCCTCGAGAAAATTAACAGAATGCTAGCCCTACGCGTAGTGTCGGCGTATCGTACAATTTCCACAGAAGCTGTTCTCGCTCTAGCAAAAATCCCCCCAATTATCCTACAAATCGAGGAAAGAAATTTAATATACAGGCACGGCTCAGGGTATCGATCAGAGGCCAGGAAGATAATACTGGACAAATGGCAGAACCGATGGGAGGCATACCAGGGTCGAATTAAGATATTTATCCCGGACGTGAGGGTTTGGATAAACAACATGTGGACGAAAACGGACTATTACATCACCCAGGCGATTACAGGGCACGGTGCTTTTGGAGAGTACCTGTTTAAAATAACTAAGGCAGAATCCACAAAATGCTGGTATTGTGAAGCATCAGACACAGCCAATCACAGATTATTCGAGTGTAGTAGGCATTTGGAGACTAGAGCATCGGCGGAACAAATATACAATGTTAAAATAACAAGGGAAAATGTCGGCGAGCTTATGATGGAAAATAGAGAGAACTTTGAAGCAATCACCAGGATGATGAGAGCCATCATGCTTAAAAAACAGGAAGATGAAAAGATAAAAATTTGGCAGACACAGACATAAGTGGCGAAACAATCTCCAGTCTTGAAGTAATGCCGCAAGGCGGTTCCGAGATTGGAGAGGTAACTCTACAGATGGGTTTTTAGTGGGTATGACTCGGGTGAGAGGTGACCCCCACACTCTGGCTGTAAATGGCGTTTCCCATCTATAAAAAAAAAAAAAAAAAAAAATGGTAAGGCGGTGGTTTCGGGATCGAGGTGTCCCGGGTTCGAATTCTATAAATACAGGGTCCGGCAATAGTGCGTCGGGCATCTGTAGCTCCTAAAATAAAACACTTGGGAATTTTGTTTAAGTGCAAACCTAAAGTATGTTCTAGGATGTATTTCAAGAAAATATTTTACTTTCTATAGAGTGGCTCAAAAATGTGTGAGTGGATCGGGATATTTTTTTTTAAATGGAACACCCTGTATATTATTGCATTTTTGGCTTCCTTTCAAATCACTTTACATAATCCTAAGATATGAGTAAATATGTTTCGATAGTTTCAGAGATATTAATAAATAAATAAAAAATTTACATTTTCATTCTTTCTTAAAAAATAATATTAAAAATACAAGAACTGTCCTGAAATCAAAACTATATTTGGTGTTTAGTTTAGATGGTATGTACTTACATTGCTATAAATATGGTAATCGTAAATTATACAGGATGTTCAAAATTCTACCCCAAACTTTCTAAAATATAAAATAATTTTTCTTCGTTTTTTTAAATTGAACACCCTGTATATTATTTTTTCAATAGATGGAGAATTATGAAATGAAAATTTTGAAATACATTAAATACAAAAAATGTTAATTTTAAAATTCTCCATCTAATAAAAAAATAATACAAAGAAAAATTATTTTATATTTTAGGAATTTTGGCGTAGAATTTTGAACATGTATGATTTGATATTAATTATTACCTGTTTGATTTAATGTTGAGATATTTATAGTAAAGTTAAGTTTAGACCATCTAAAGTAAATGCCTAATCTAGTTATGATTTCAGGACAGGTTTTTTTAAAAAGGCTGAAAAGTATATATTTTATATTTATTTATTAATATCTCTGTAACTATCAAAAAATATTTACTCATATCTTAAGATTATGTAAAGTAATATAAAATGAAGCTAAAAATGCAATAATATACAGGGCGTTCCATTTAAAAAAAATCATCCCGATATCCACTCCTAAGATCCACTCACACTTTTTTGAGCCACCCCATAGAAAGTATTTTCCTGAAATACATCCTCGTACCAACTCGTACATATTTTAGGTTTACACTTAAACAAAATTTCCAATTTTTTTATTCTAGGAGCTACAGATGCCCGACGCACTATTGCCGGACCCTGTATAGATTTTTTTACATCTGTTTTTATTTTTTAGAGCTGTCGGTAATAGCAATCAAAACATGTTGATGAGTAATGAGTACTCGAGTAACGAGTTACATTTTCAACATCTCTAGGACACCCACGACAATACAGGGCAGCAGAAGGAAAGAATATGAAAATGTAAACGTGGAGGTGTAAATTCGTTTTGATATTCCCGATGCCGATGGTTCAAAATAAATTACTAGCTATTATATACCTAAATCCTTAGCAATTAGTTCAACAGAAAATCCTCCCTCATAATTTTTAGCCGATGGTACATTTTCCATAACTCCAGGTACAGGGTTATAAGTATCGGAAGACCATGACCTTCCCGTTGAAATATTTACTACGTTTGTTAGCAGACTAGGATCAAGGCCTAGTTTTACCCCTAAATTCAAAGCTTCAGCTGTACCTATCATAGTTACACCTAAAAAACAGTATAGTATTACATAATATGTATTTCCTTGTAGTGTAAGCACAGCCTATTCATTAGACAGCTAGTTAACTTACGATTATTTACATGGAATTCTGCAGATAATCGCTACTGTTATGTGGCGAATTCTGAGAATGTAGCTCCGTTTATGAAAACTATCGAGACTGGTGCTCTGCCTGCATGTGTACGATAAACAGGCGCGGAAGGTAAAGCACGATTACTCTAAAACTAGCGAATTCGACTAGCTGCCCTATGAATAGGCTGTGGTGTAAATACTGCAAAATTATAAATGAAAAATTTAATAGCTTGAAATATTTCATAAAATTATTTCAATCTATTAAATTTATTTTTATTTTCCTAACTACAAATATTTAAGTATAGTTTTTTTAGATTAAGTAAGTTATTAAAATATTTAAAACAAGGCTGGCATTAAAAAATACATTTGTTGACACGTAAAACTTATAAAATCAAGCCCCAGCAGATTCAAACTTAACCTCTCTCGATGCCCGAATATGTAACACTTTGAATAAAAAGATTAAGGAAGGATGCTATCGATGTATTCATTCATTAAGCGGCCCATACATTATCAAAATTTTACTAAGTGCATGGGTGATGCAGTTGTGCAACGGAACGTTGCGCATCGCTTTGTTGCGCAACTTGTTTGATAGTGTATGGACCGCTGAATTAGTTGTGCAACGCAACGTTGCGCATCGCTTTGTTGCGCAGTTTGTTTGATAATGTATGGGCCGCTTTAGAGACGGAATTGACATCATAAACCCCCATTTTTGACAGTTTTGTTTGGCATTTTAATTGACTTTTGAATTCTTGCGGATTTGTTGGACTTTTCTGTTATCTTTGTAGTTTATTTTGTTATTTAATTACTTATTTTACAGTTAGTTTGTTTAAAATTAGTAAATCTAGGATATTATAGGTAAATTAAGTATAGTGACATTTATTGCGAATTCAAAAAAAAGGCTTTAAAATTGTTTAGGTTTGGTAAGTAATGAAGTTGATAAGTAACTATACAATATAGGGTGATTCACGACGATGGTACGTTAGACGTTTGTGAATGGAGAACCGGGTTTATATGGATTTTTTTGAAAATTTGCATTGTTACATAAAGATACTTGCTCCATCTATCTACAATAGTGATGGGTTGTTATTTAACTATCGGTTATTTTATAACAATTATTTAGAAATAACATAACGCAACCGTTACTACTTCTAAAAAATAACAGATATAAAATAACGACACGTAGAGATCGGTCGCTCGTGAAACGAAAAACGAAGTCGGCGCTCTGCACCGCTCCGAAATTCTATGCTGCTCGAAGCAATTCCAAAAAACAACTAGTATGGATGGAAAACATGTTATTTCGTCAACCATCGATACAGGCGGCGAGACAACGGACAACGGAGTGGGGAATGCGCTACGGCGAACGTAGCTGCTTCGGTCGATCCCGTCGACGGTCGTATTGGGCTTACAACAGCTTAAAAATAATAGGATATAAAAGGAGCAGGTTTTTTGAAACAGTTGCGGGCATAACGCCTGGCGGTCGAGATAACAGGAGTGGGAAAGGAAGGCTGCTGCATCGGTCGATTGTCGATGGAGGCTCGCAACGGGTTGGAGAAGCAGTCATTTTAGATACGTTGTTTTTCAACCTGTTACGAACATAACAGGGTGGCGGTCGAGATAATCGGAGTGGGAAAGGAACGCTGCTGCATCGGTCGATTGTCGATGGAAGTTCGAAACAGGTTGGAGAATAACGCATCCGTTGTTTTAGATACATTGCTTTTCAACCTGTTACGAGCATAAGGGCGGATGTCGAGATATTATGGCGCTGTATGTTTCAGTACGTTATTAAGTTTCAATATTTAGGTATTTATTTATTCTGAAAAATTTTCGGAATAATGTTTTAAGATTTTTTAAAAATGTATACAGGGTGTTTTGAAAAATCTGGTCATTGATTAATCACGATCCTGCTTAAAGCCCTTGACGTAAAAAGCTGATTTTTGGGAAACGGATTGACTTTAGGGTGTAGAGGTTCGATAAGAAGGGATTTTTCGAAACTCGAATTCTAAGGGGTGAAATCACCCTCAAATATCAGAATATTTTTTATTTAAAAACCGGTGAGTTTTTCGGAAAAACTCTTAAACACGTATATTTTATTTCGTTGTTTTACATATTTTAAGATTTTTTAAAAATATATACAGGGTGTTTCATAAAATGTGACCATTGAGTAATCACGATTCTGCTTAAACTGCCTGACGTTTAAAGCTGATTTTTGGTAAACGGATTGACTGTGGGGTTGAGGTTCGATAAGGAGGGGTTTCTCGAATCTTAAATTCCAAGAGGGTGGAAACGCCCCTCAAATATAACAATATTTGTTATTTAAAAAACGGTTACGGCCGTATTCATGGTCGATCGCCAGTCGCCCGCTGGCGGGAGCTTTCCCGAAATTCTTCGTTCTTATTTCAGAGTCGAGCGCTCTCCGAGTAACGCGTGCGCACATCCGTCATATAGAGTAACCGCTCTCTCGCTGGCGAGCGGTTGGATAAGCATTTTTTTCCGTTTCATAGTCGATCTCCAGGCGAATAACACTTGCGCAGTTTAAACCCTATCCGGTGATTTTCGGCCGGCAACTGGAGCATGTCCTTACCATCTCTGGGCGGCCCGCCAGTTTAGTCTGGTTTATTTCTCTAGTTGAAAGAAGCACCAAGCAAACTGAATTAATTATGGATATTTATAATATTGTGACGATTAACGAGAAAGATGACATTTGTATTTTTGAGGCCATTATTCATTACATTTGGGGCATATGAATTCCGTCCGTCTATTTGACCATTTAAATGTTTTATCGTTTTGTTTTTGTTATGTTTATATTTTTTTATTTTTCCTATTGTATTTACGTTTATTACATTAATTCTCTTTGTAATTTATACAAACTGGAAAAAATATACCAAATTCACAAAACATCAGTCATCTGCACAAAACAAAAATAGAGCCAATTAAAAAATATAAATTACTTCTACTCTGGTCATATTTTCCCTTAAAATAATTTTAAAATCCTTAACACAGCAGCAATAGGTTAAAGTTTAGGTCTATAAAAATTTATAAACGTAATAAAAACGAATCCATAAAACTTTCAAATAACCGAACAGACCTATGGAATTCCCCGTTATGTAAATTATTAACTTAATGTCCTTTTTATTATGACCCAAAAATATACCTAGCCAAAAAAATATGTATATAAAAAATTGTAAATCTTTTTACTATAAGTGAAGGATTACGAAGATATTATTCATTACTTTAAAACGAATTATAACAAAATAATGGACACATCAATAAAATATTTAAATTACCCAATATCAATAAAATATTTAAATTATTAATATTTAAATATTTAGAGAATGTTAAAGTTCGTATAACCGATTTTGTGTAGAAAAAGGAAGAAAACATGTTCCCTGTTGTTAAAACCCTCCACCCGAAGTGAAATTTTGTTGGCGACGCGCCGTCATTTTCGCCAGCCAGCGGTGCGCTGGCGGCCGACTATGAAAGAGCTTTTTTTCTCTCCCGATATCGAAGCGCTCTCCGGAGAAATCTTCGGCGAGCTCTTCTTTTCGGCGGGCGGCTGGAGCTCGACTATGAATACGGCCGCATAATTTATTTTGTTTTTTTACATATTTTGAGTAGACAGTTATTAATATACAATAATAAATTTGGGAAATTTTTATCTTTTTAAATTAATTATAAATTTTTTCATGAAAAAACGATGATAAAAAAATGTCTGTTAAACTTTTGGTAAATAATGAGATATAAGTGCGGATTATAATATAACAGGCCTCTTGACAGTGCTATCTGAACAAAGACAGATTAGCTTAACAAAGACAGATTTAATTTAGACAGATGGAGCAGGTGCCTTTATGCAAACATCTTAATTATAATATAATAATTATTATAATATACTGGGTATTCTATTTAAAATAACAAATATGCTACCACTTTTCAAATGATTCGGCAACATTGTAACGCTGATAATGTTTTATATAAGATGAAACAGGTATCTTCATGTAAAAATACAAATTTTCAAAAAAATCCTATCATCGGTTCTCCATAAACGTCTAACGTACCATGGCCGTGAATCACCCTGTATACGTTAGGTACGTGTAATAATAAACCAATTAATTATGAAATTCACTTTGAAGTAACTAATTACCTACATATTTTTAATTGTATTTTCATTTTATTTACTACTTGTCAAAAATAATTAGTCCATATACCGATACGTAAATTTGACTTATGTGTTACGAACTTTTTTACTTATTTTTATCAGCAGAATATATCGTCCCATTGCTGCCAAAAGTCACTAACTTACTTTTTATTACTTCCGAGAAAAATGCGTCTAAAAATGAATTGCATTGCATAAAGATGTTATAGTTAGTAACTATTCGGTATTAAAATAAAACATAAATAGCCAGAAATCGTAGTTAATGACTTTTACAATCGATTCTCCGCTTCAAAACATAGTTAGTGATTGAATTTGGTTGTTCGGAAAAATGTTAGTTAGTGACTTTTGGCAGCAATAGGACGATATGCTGCCAAAGTTTCCGTAATACATTCGGACCACCCTGTATATCTATAGATAAAAATGTGTGGAGGATTCCTGATAGTGGCAGTTATTTCTGTCATTTTAATTTACATGTGTAAAATTGTATTTTCTGTCATTATTTGGATGTCGTTTGTTAAAATCATCACTGACTCGTTGGCCAGACTTTACTACGCATCGGAGAGAGGAGCATTCGAGAAATTCGCATATTTCACGAGTTCTAATCTCTAATGGGTTAAAAACTTACCTAATATTAAATTGTTGCATAATTTAGTTATTTGTCCAGCTCCCGATTTTCCACAGTATATAACTTTTTTTCCCATATGAAGCAATAGCGGTTCCACTTCTTGGTAGTCCTTTAAGTTGCCTCCAAGCATAAAACATAAAGTTCCTGCTTGGGCGCCAACCACACCACCAGATACTGGTGCATCTAAAAAGCGAACGTTAGACTCTTGCGCACTTTGGAATAATTCTTGGGCAACCTAAATGAAAAATAATTATAGAACCACACACCTACTGGTCAAATAATGAGGTATTACTAATGGCGTACAACAATTTACTAACAAGTTTTATTTCGAATATCCAAGGATTGAAACAATAAAATATTTTCCCAGTTTAGTTTTTTTTTAAATCTTTCGTCAAATATGCTACTACTACTACTGCCATTACTCGCTGACGAGTATTTGACACGCATCAAAAGATGGTTACGCAGATGGTTACGCAGGGCGTTTCCTGTCATGAGCTTTTCTGTGACTGAGAAGCCCGATACGTGATGTTATCTCTCTTCCGCACTCCGGACATTTAAAAATCTCATTACTTTGTTGCCTCTATACTTTTTGGTTGTCCTTATTAACTGAATTTACAATTCTCCTCCATTGCTTTCTATTGTGCGCTGCTTCCTCCCACTGATGCTGCATATTTATCCCCTTTAAGTTTTCATGAACAACATCCTTGTATCTTTTGAGTTGTCCACCCGGTTTCCTCTTACCCTCTACAAGTTCACCTTAAAGAAGAGATTTCGGTAGGCGGTTTTCTTGCATCCAGCATACGTGGCCACCCCATCTTAAGCGAGATTTAGTAATCATGACTTCAGCGCTCTCGCAGCTTGCTTTTTTAAGGACTGATACGTTTGAGACATGGTGGTACCATTTGATTGTTAAAAGTTGTCTAAGGTGTCTCTGTTGCAAATTGTTTAATACACCCGTGTGCCGGCGGTACGGCACCCAGGTTTCGCTTCCATATAACATGGTGGGGATTATTACTGCTCGATACACTGCAAGTTTCGTTTTTGTGCTCAAGTCATGATTGTAGAAAACTCTGTCTTTTAATTTCCAGAATGCTCTTGAGGCGCTGCTGATTCTGTGCTGAATTTCAGAGTCGATATTTGCCTTTTCCGAAATCAAACTGCCGAGGTAGTTAAATTCCGATACATATTCCAATAGTTCTTCTCCGATTTTTATAGCGCTGTTATGATTTTCTGGGGGAGTGCACATGATTTTTGTTTTATCGATATTCAGTATAAGGCCCAAAGTCTCGTATGCCCAGGTATATGTGTTCAGCATTTCCTGTAATTGCTGTAACGTATTTGCAACTAGAGCGCAGTCATCAGCGTATTGGAGTTCTGTGATGAATTTTATACGTGTTTTTGCCCTGAGTCCTTTTATGTTGAACAGACCGCCGTCATACCTGTATCTAACACCCATTCCTCTTTCCTGCAGTTTGCTGTCCACTATAATAGAAAGCGCTGCCATGAATATGTTGAATAGGAGAGGAGCTAGGACACATCCCTGCCTAACTCCTGTATTTGTCAGGAAGGGATCGCTCAGTGATCCATGATGTGACACTCTCGACTTGTTGTTGTTATGGAGGCTTTTACACACACTAAGAAATTTGTTGGGCACTCCGAAATCCGCTATCCACCTGTTATCGTTATAAACGATGAAGGACGCGCACTGAATCGATCCGGACCAGTCGACTCGACTAAGAGCTATCAGCAGGTTTTGATTTACATAGATTTCAATTCGATTGCCGTCGACCGGTTTGCGTTAGTGCACAGGGTTACATTTATTTCTATGTATACTAAAACCTGCCGGTAGCTCTTAGTCGGGTTGACCGGTCCACTTGAATAAGAGCTATCGGTAGGTTTTGGTATACATAGAATTAAAAAATGTAACACCGCGCACTGAATCGGACGGTCGACGTTGACGACGCGCAACGAGTCGATTCAGTGCGCGGGGTTACATTTAATTCTATGCAGGGTCGCTGATATGTATGGGAACGCTCGATTATTAGGTAAAATATAAGTGGTACCGCAAAAAGTTAAATATAAAAGTTATGGGGTTTTTAAGTTGCCGGTTTTTAAGTGATATTTTTAAAAGTCAATAACTCGGAAACGGTTGGTTTGAGGTACATTGTGTGTATCTCGATTTTTGCTTAGAATTGAAGGAAGAACCAAAATATGCAATGATATACAAGGGATTCCATGTCCATTTAAAAAAATGAAACTTTGATGTGCCAAGACTTTATGACCGACCCTGTATACTTAAATTTATTCCCCGCTAATATACAGGGTGGTCTGAACTGTATTCCGTAAACTTCGGCAGCATATTCTGCAGAAAAAAATAAGTAAAAAAGTTCGTATAAATGTATATTTTAAAAAGTTTCATTTTTATTTCGATTTTTTCCAAATAATTTCTGAGGTAACGTCAATATTTGGATGAAAATTGGTATTTGGGAGTTTTTTGACATGAGAAATTTGATTTTGATGTCAATATCACTCCTAGGGGGCGCCACCTGCGTGTGTTTTAACAGCTTTCAAGAGTAATAACTTTTCGTCCGTACCTGTATAAAACTACTGAGTAAAAAAATATATATTTGCGACGTTTTTTACGTAAAAAATGTCTCTTGATAAAAATCGCTATAAGCAACCGTTCTCAAGATATTTAGAATGGAAATAGTTAATACATGTCATTATTGCCAAAATATAAACACGTTGAGTCGACAGTTATTTGACCGAAATAATAAATTTGGGAAATTTTTATCTTTTTAAATTAATTATAAATTTTTTCATGAAAAAACATTTCAAATTTATGATTTCAGTTTAATAACTATTTAGTCAACATGTTTAATTTATGTCAATGATGATAGGTATTGATAATTTCAATTTCAAATATCTCGAGAACCGTTACTCGTAGCGATTTTTACCAAGAGACCTTTTCTACGTAAAATACGTCATAAATGTATATATTTTTACTGAGTAGTTTTATACAGGTACGGACGAAAAGTTATTACTCTTCAAACCAGTTAAAACACATGTAGGTGGCGCCCTCTACAAATAGGAGTCATATTGACATCAAAATCCAAATTTCTCATGTCAAAAAACTCACACACTTTTTTTTCATCCAATATTCATCCAAATTTCAGACACCAATTTTCATCCAAATATTGATGTTACTTCATAAATTATTTGGAAAAAATCTAAATAAAAATGAAATTTCTACCCCCTGCATCTCCCAAACCAAGCATTTTAGGACATACATTTATACGAACTTTTTTACTTATTTTTACCTGTAGAATATGCTGCCGAAGTTTCCGGAATACAGTTCGGACCACCCTGTATATTTAAAAACCCTATATGGTACCTCTTATATTTTACCTAATGATCGACCGTTCCCATACATACACATTAGGATATTATATACCAAAACCTACTGATAAAGCTCCTAGTCGAGTGGACCGGTCGAAGTCGATTCAGAATGCGTCCTTGTAGAATGTACAGGAGGGGGTTAATCACCGCGACCATAGTGTGTACCCCTTTCTTTGATGAAAACCAGTATCTGTGACGGTTTTACAGAAGTTAGTTCTCCATCTTTAACCTTTCCGGGACCGTGCGGGCTATTTTAGGTACCCCAGATGCGTTTTTTTCTTTAATAACTTTTACAATTTTTATTTCTCACTTTTTTCCTTTCAGGTAATCCTAGAAAATACATTACAAAACATTTTTTTAACAAAAATATCCAAATATTTTTTTTATTTTCCGCGAAAAACTGAAATTTACTGCCTGGGGTACCTCCGTTACTTCGCACGGCCTGCAGTAATTTGAAATCCTACATGCACTATTTATGTTTTTTTAGTGTTGGTGACTTTGTATAAACAGAAAAACAAAAATATTATGTGGTGCATGCAAAAAAATCTTTTTAATATTCACCGCCAAGAATGTAAAACGTTTTTGCCCTGACTGCCAAAATAATGTGCAGAAAATTAATAAGAGTTTAGTTTTAAAATTAAATGTTTTTTTATATTAAACAAATACAAACTATTTATTGTTTGTTAGCTTTATTATTGACGTTTTATTATAAAACTTTACAAATAATTATTGATAATTTACCTGAGTGGCAAAATGTTAATAGATTTCGAAATATTTTAGTGGGGTAGGTATCATAGTTACCCCACACGGCCTGAAACGTAACTTTTTGTAGCACGGTCCCGGAAAGGTTAATATCAGTGATATCAAAGTTTATGGCACAAATGGTTACCAGCTCAGCGCACTCAATTATGAGGTGTTCTGGTGTTTCCCATTTTCTCCACAGAATCTTCATTCGCCGTTGTTTCTTAGCTTTAATCTACTGAGGTGTTCATTGAGGAGACAGTGTCCTGTTAAAAATCCCGTGACAATCCGAAGATTGTTCTTATTTAATTCAAGGAAATTTTTTTTATTTTTCTCTTGAAGTTTTGAGAAATTTCTTCGAGTGTCTTAGATCGTTGGATGATTCCCAGTCCCGGTTACGGATGGAGTCTTCCAGGTTCTTGTTTGAGTTCCGCTTTAAGTTAGTTTCCACTTGGGTAGCAGAAAGGTTCGTGTCCAGTTAGTGGTGTGTTCGCGCCTCTTCTAGCCAGATAGTTTGCTTTTTCATTGCCTTCTATTCCTTGGCGGGCTGGTACCCAGAGTAGGGGGACTTTATTTTCTTTTCTTTTTATATTTTTTAACTAAAATTCTATTATTATTTTATATTTAAATTCAATGTTCGGTATATTATTTAAAAAATCGAAACATGAATAAAACTTCTTTTCAACGATATATTGTGTTCCTTCCTGTTTCTTCTGTAAAATCATTTAAAACTTAATAATAATTCTATTATAATTATTTCGTTGAAGGAAAATCGTTACCTTGACAAACATTTAAATTCATATTTTATTCAAAGCATCAATTAGAATTAGACTTTACTTGTTAAATTTCTAAAACTGGTCATGGTAACGAAATTCTTATTGAAATTAAATTATAGTAGAATTATTAATATTTAAGTAGACCTACTTAAAAAACCATTTTGTTGAAAAGGAATTCTATTCGTGTTTCGATTTTTTAAATAATACACATAGGGTTGAATTTAAAATAACAAAGATTTGACCAATAACGAAAATATTTTTCTGTGTGATACCCTGATACGCAATTTTTGGCTTCCTTTCAGATCATTTTTCATAAACCTAATATATGAGGAAATATATTTCCATAATTTTAGAGATATTAATAGATAGATAAAAAAATATACATTTTCAACCTTTCTTAAAAAATTATTACAAATGAAAGGTCCAAGGGAAAAACTTGATAATAAATAATATTTGAGTTCAAACGCACTGACGAAAGAACCTGATAACCACCAGCCGTCCAGTGCTATCCTGTAGAATCAGTGAAATGGCGCTTATCATGTTTGTCCCCTGGGCCCTGGCTGGACCCTTCAAATACAAGATCTGTCCTGAAATAAAAACTTTATTCGGTATTTACTTTGATCTATACTTGTCCTGAAACCAAAACTTTATTAGGTATTTACTTTGATCTATACTTACTTTTCTATAAATATCGTAATATTAAATCATACATAATACAGGGTGTTAAAAATTCTACGCCAAACTTTCTAACATATAAAATAATGTTTCTTTAATTTTTTAAATGGAACATCTTGTTTGTTTTTTTTATTAGATGGAAAGTTAAAGAATTACATTTTTTTGCATTTAAAGCATTTAAAATTTTTTAATGGTTTTGCAGATATACGCAGTATTATTTCATATGGCCGGTACGGTAAAATACGAGAGAAAAATTATTGGGTGGCTTTGATAAAAATTTATTGGGGAAAATGCCATACGAAATATAAAATTGCAAATATCTGCGAAACCGTTCAAATTTTTGAAATACTTTAAATACAAAAAATGTTTATGTTTTAATTCTCCATCTACTGAAAAAATAATATACAGGGTGTTCCATTTAAAAAACGAAGAAAAGATAATTTATATTTTAGAAAGTTTGGCGTAGAATTTTGAGCATCCTATATGATTTACGATTACCATATTTATAGCAAAGTAAGTACGAACCAAAGGTACAAACCATCTAAAGCAAATACCTAATATAGTTTTGATTTCCGGACAGTTCTTGTATTTTTAATATTTTTTTTTAAGAAAGTGTGAGATATATTTTTTATTTATTTATTAATATCTCTGGAACTGTCGAAATATACCGGGTGCGTCTCAAAAGTGGCTTACCCCTATAACTTTTTTATTTTTACAGATATAAACACGAGATTTGGTATGTTAGTATATAACATAAATTAGGATTGATTGAAGTATTCAATTGTTTTTGGTCACTTCCTGTTTCACCGGAAATGACTACAACTTTTGATTTTTAAATGACACGCTCGGTATTTTTGTACTTTATCCGATAGAAAATGACATTCTGAATAGAATGACATATTTTGTGTCAACTTTTGACATTTTCGCTTAATAAAAAATCGTATTTTAAAATTCAATCTAGAGTACCATGGCTTTGTTAAAAACACTAATTCTTAATCAAGGAGCCTTGGAAAAATATATTTGACCGTCTAATGTTTTTAGTGTCTTGTTCTGACCAGTTAGAAAGTGCTCAAATCGTATTTTTAATCATATCTCAATTTTTTCAAATGGAACGAGGGTGGCTCATTACCATATTTGGAAAAAGCATTTTTTTACGAATAATTTGATACCACACACTTGGTATTTCGAGTCAAATTTTCGTTACGAACCGCAAGTTGACATATGATATGTCATTCTATTCAGAGTATTATTTTCTATAGAATAAAGTAAAAAAATAAAGATGGTGCCATTTAAAAATCAAAAGTTAATAATTTCCGGTGAAACAGGAAGTGATCAAAAAGAATTGAATACGTCAATCAATCCAAATTTATGTCACATACCAAATCTCGTTTTTTTATATGAAAAAATTAAAACAGTTATATGGGTGAGCCACTTTTGAAACGCACCCGGTATTTATTCATATCTTAGGATTATGTAAAGCGATCTGAAAGGAAGCCAAAAATGCAATAATATACAGTGTGTTCAATTTAAAAAAAGTCATCCCGATCCACTCACACCTTTTTGAGTCATCCTTTAGAAGTTAAAATATTTTCCTGAAATACATCCTAGATGATCCTAGTAGGTACATACTTTAGGTTTACCCTTACACAAAATTCGCAAGATTTTTATTTAAGGAGCCATAGATGCCCAGCGCACTTTTGCCGGACCCTGTATGTTTCTATATAGGTGTGCGACGATTTGATTGGCTCCATTATGTTTTGATGCAGAAATTTGTCCATTTGCCCCAGAATGTACCGTCGCACGGCAATAAAAAATTATGAGATATAAAAGTGCGAGTAGTTTCCCGAAATGCAATAATATACTGGGTGGTCTATTTAAAGTAACAAACATGCTATACTATTTTTCAAATGATGTGGCAACATGAGAAGTGTGTATTTTCTTGTATAAGTTTAGTAAATGAAGAAATAATCTAATATTAATAATTATTAAGTTGAAAATAAATATGTGCTTGGTAACTATAATACACCAGCGGTAATTTCGAAATATATTGTTTTATAATGTCAAAATATTAGATACATGCGACGTATGTTTTGTAACTGGTATATAATCTGTTTATCAATTTTATGTACGCAATGTAATTGTATTTACTTCTAAGATAACAAGAGCCTTATTTTATTATTTTTCAAAAAAGAGTTCAAAGAGCTAGTTTGGATAAAAATGTTGGCAAATCAAAAAAATAATCTAGATTTCGAAAAAAGTAATATTACATCATCTATAGTTGTTTTTATTTTGTTAAAAAAATAATTACTTGCGGTCCTGTTGTTGAACAGTCTAACAATAATGAGTTTTTGGCCAAACGTTTGAGAATGCCCTTTTCTCCTAATATAGTGCTTTTAACAATGCTTCCATTTGGTAACATAGTTATAACAATTTTCGATCCTTCTACAGCTTCGTCAGCCGATGAACAGGGTATGGCACCTACAAAGTATTATATATACCGTATGATCGAAAATAGCGGCGTCAAGTTACCTTAGAAATGACTATCGATGACTTTCACCATACAACTATACTTAACAAATGTCTTTTATATGTAAAGTAATATCACAGCCTATTCATTAGACAGCCAGTCGACTTCGCTAGTGAGTACCTGCACTTCCTGCAGGCTGAGCGTGCATTAGATGTTTCTAGAGAACTACAATATCTAGATCGGAGATTTTTAGCACATCATTGTTTCACAACGAGATCTATCGATTAAAAATATTTTCAATATGGCGGCACTTCCGGAAGTTAACAGCAACTTTCTAATTTTAAATGGGTGCCCCCATTTTTTATTACATACTTAAATTCTTTTTGAACGAAAAAAACTGCCCTGTCAAAAATATATGTATAGCCTAAACGTGTCAAATTTAGTGAATACCCCTGCCACTGTGCCATAAAGAGATGACATGGTGGCTGTCTATTTCAAAAATTAAATTGTTCGAATATCATATAATAATGATCGCAACTGTCATGGAATTGAGCAATTAAAAAATTATCATAAATCATTTCTTTCAAATGGAAACCCACTTTTTTATTTCACTAGTGAAAATGCTTTTCAATTCGTTACTTTTTGACTATACATGTTCCTATACCTAAAATAAATTGTTTTTAACTTATTTAAGATTTAGTTTTAACACGTAGATATATTTTTCTTGATTTTAACCGGTAGCTTATGACTTTAAACGTCAAGTGATGTAAAACAATAGATCTGGCCATGTCATATCGTGACACTTTGTTAAAAAGCAGTATGTTATCGATTATCGATCATCCTGTCCAAGCCAACTTTGCGCTGTTATGTTTCGATCATACGGTATATTATTAATATCAACTATTAGATATCACCCTTATATCACTAAGAGCGAAAATACGAGATATATTTTTAATACACTTTTTAAAGTCTTAGGGCAGGCAGTATTTATATAATATAGAAAACTCAAATAATTCGTTCTCTGACAGATGGAGATAAATTGTCTGACTGACACTTAATGTCAAAGAATGCTAGATAAAATCAAGAAAAATATACTTTTTCAAATTAAATCATTAAATAACTTAAAAACGATTTATTTTAGGTATAGGAACATGTATTCCCAAAAAATAACGAATTGGAAAACCTTTTTACTAGTGAAATAAAAAATGTGGGTTTCCATTTGAAGAAAATGATTTATTATAATTTTTTAATCGCTCAATTCCATGACAGCTACCGCCATTATTATATGTCATTTGAACAATTTAATTTTTGAAATAGATAGCCACATGTCTTCTCTTTATGTCACAGTGGCTGTGGTAATTACTAAATTTGACTTTTAGGCTATAACTTTTTAGACAGGCAGTTTTTTTCGTCCAAAAATTTTAAATATTTTTTTTCTCAAAAACGGTTAATGTTAGGTATAGAGTGTTTAACATCAATATTCATAGAATTTCACAGAGAATTTAAGTATGTAATAAAAATGGGGGCACCTATTTAAAATAAGAGAGTTGTTGTCAAGTTCCGGTATTTCCGGAAGTGCTGTCGAATTGCAAATATTTTTAATCGATAGATGTCGTTGTGAAACAATGATGTGCAAAAAATCCCCGATCTAGATATTGTGGTTTTCTAGAAACTTCTAATGCACGCTCAGCCTGGGACACCCTGTATATCACTATCCGACTTTTTACATAAGATAAGCGAATATTTAGGTAGGTACGAAGAGTTCCATATTAATGACTGTAAGTTAACTGGCTGTCTAATGAAGAGGCTGTGTCATACGGTGAATGTCATCAAATAATGCTTTGTCTCCACTTAAATAAGTATAGTAAGTGTGGTATAAATACAGTCAGATGCAAAAAAACGCAACGGAAAATTTTTTCGTCAAATTTAAGTTTCTAGCCCTATTTCCTTGATTCTTTTAGCAAACTGTATTTAAAAAATACATACACTTTAATTCGTAGACTCAGTTTATTATAACCTTTAGTATTTTACTTATTATACAGGGTTAATCGAAGAGTTGTTTTTTACCCTATCTTTAAAAACACCCTGTGGAACAATTTCGTGAGCAAATTTCCCTAAAACATCATTTTTTGGTCAGAACCATGTCTCCTGAATAGTAGTTGTTTGCAATTTCTTTAATTATTATCGTTACTTTTTGATGTTATTCTTCATAATGACGTGGTGGCATTGTTGACTATTACTGTGTACAATTGAATATTTTTCTTAGAGTCGAAAATTATGCAAAAGTTATTGGTCTTGTTGAAGATGGCCGAAATTATGAATATTCGTTTGGTAGTTGAAGAAGAATGGGAAAACAACTAAATATATTTGCAGCTTCATTGGCAGTATGAACCTACGTCTACAGACAGTTATAGCAGCTATACAGAGTATTAGAGTATTTTTTACAAGTTTTTATGTTTGTTTGTACACTTACTTATTACTGTGTTTTTGTTTTATTAACCTTATTTCGGTTAGTGTTACTAATATTTATTAAAACCAAGCCTTTATCGTTACTTTTTAACGTTTTTTAAATTTCAATATAGAGTTTTAATGCTGTGTCGATATGACATTACGACAATAGTCACCAAAGCCACCTCGTGATATTAAAAAATAACATCATAAAGTAAAATGATCGTTGAAAAAATTGCAAATTGTTGGTGACAAGTTCATTTCGCTCTTTAAAATTAACCAACGCATGTGTTGACATGAGTCAAAAAACAAAATGCTCAGGAGACATGATTCTGATAGAAAAATAATGTTCCAGGGAAAGTTACATACGAAATTATTGCACAGGGTGTTTAAAGTTACAGTAAACAACAACTCTTCAACCCTGTATAATCAGCCAAATAGGTACTCAAGTTTATAAAAAAAATCATTATATGAAAAGTTGATAGATTCATATACAGTTTGCTAAAAAAATCATTAAAATACAGCTAAAAGTAAAGAAAATGTTTAAGCTTGACGAAAAAATTATCCGTTGTGTTTTTTTTGCATCTGAGTGTTATTCTTTTATTATCGTTAATTTTTAAGTTTGGGGGTGAGTTGGCTGTATCATAGTACAGTTTCCTTATACTATGGCTGTATAATGTATATCTGTTTTGGAATAATGTTTATGTTATAAGACTTAAGTTTAAATGATTGTAATTTATTCTTTTCTATTTAGATTTATTAAGAAGAAAGAGATCATAAGAAATTTAATCACTTTTTTTATATTTTATTTTTTTACCTTGAATAGCTTTTGTATTGGATGGTAAGATGTCGTAGACTTTAGGTTTTTCTCCATTTTTTATTAAATTGTTCACCATCCTAGCGCCCATTTGTCCCAGCCCGATAAAGGCAATATCACTATTATGCCTAGCTAAAAATATTTTTTATGAATAAATTATAATTATATTGAATATGCTAATAGTTTTTTTTGAGCTTATTACATTTATATGTTCAAAATTTATTACATTTATATGTACAAAAAAGAAAAAAAAGAGAACGTTGAAAATAATAGTAGGCGTTAAATTTTGAAAAAAACTGCGTCTAGTTGGCTTGGAAATGACGATCGATGACATTTCCCATATAATTTTATATATAAAATGACAGCGATCTTCGTTTCATAGCCATTGCTGACGCTGTTTTTTTTATCACATTGTATAAAAAATTAATAAATATCGCACAATTTAATCAACTTAATCTTGTTTTAACTAACTTACCGTGGACATTTTTCTCAATTTTAACTAAAACTCTAAAACTGTTTAGAAACATGTTGGTTGTAGGAGTAGGCTTAAATAAATTTGGTGAAGTTTTACTAATCTAGTAACGTAGTGTAAATGAACATATAACGACTAAATGAATATTGCTGTATTTATTTATCTTTAATGACTTGACCTTAGAAACGCGATTTCACATACAAGTTTTGTTTTTGAAATTAATTATCGGCGGTATGTTTAGTTGCCTACGTATTTACCTTAACGTTTAGAACATTTTTTAAAAAAGAAAAGAATATATTTTGTATAATTCAATTCAATTCAAAATGTCTTTATTAGGTCTATAAACAATTGTATACAAATTAAAATAATAACGATGGCGACGTTCACATTTGTGCTCTTCCACGCAGCCATACAAAAAAATATATGTAAGAAAAGAGTAGTAAAATGAACAATCAAGTTATTACAGAAATATGATTAAAGACCTACATACATTATTCAATAATTAATTACAAAATACCAGGTGCGTCTCAAAAGTGGCTCACCCCTGTAACTTTTTTATTTTTTCAGATAAAACAACGAGATTTGGTATGTTAATATATGGCATAAATTGGGATTGACGTATTCAATTGTTTTCGATCACTTCCTTCGGAAATGATTAGAACTTTTCATTTTTAAATGGCACCCTCGGTATTTTTTAACTCTATTCGATAGAAAATGACACCCTGAATCGAATGACATACCATATGTCAATTTTTGACATAGTCACTCAAAAACAAATTCTATTTTAAATTTCAATCTAGAGTGGCTGTGTTAAAAACACTCATTTTTAATCAAGGAGCCTTGGAAAAATAGATTTGATCGTCTAATGTTTTTAGTGTCTTGTCTTGACCGGTTAAAACATGCCCAAATCGTATTTTGAATCACATCTTAATTTTTTCAAATGGAACGAGGGTGGCTCATTAGCATATTTGGAAAAAGCATTTTTTTTACTAATAATTTGATACCACACACTTGGTAGTAGGATATAGTTATGCGTTTCGTTTCGCTTAGACAATTTCTCAAATAGATAAATTGGTGTTTGGGATTCATTAATTCTAAAAACCATACAGGCCATATGCACAATAAATCTCTCGTCCAAATTAAGCCAGTGAGACTCCCTAAAGCAATCCGATATGTGATCAAATTTCCTTTTTTTCCAAAAAAAGTTATAAGAGTATCTTACACAAGCGTTCTGTAATTTTTGTAATGAGTGTCGATCAACTAGTCGCAGAATAATATAAATAATAAATATAACTATAGAATAATAAAAAATAGTTAAGTTTTTCTCCGTTTGCCTATTCTATACCTATCCAATATATTAGACTCATCATTCAAGACCCTATTCGTTTTTGAGATCTTCTTCCATTTTTTTGGCCGTTCGCCTTTCTTGCGGTTATTTGAATTCACCCTGTATATACAGGGTGGCGCACCCCTCGCCTCGGTTAATTATACAAAAACGGAAAGATGTAGAAACAAAATATTTTATGGTTATATATGTGGGAATAGCCCAGTCAAATTAGACAAATCGGTGGAAAAAATCCCACAGTTTTGAAAATGGTTTTAATTGATTCCTCTAGACTTGGGCTGATATGTGTCAAAAGTCCCCGATAGACGATGAGCTCGAGTAGGGGGGGGGGGTTAAATGTCACTTTTATGACTTTTTAGCTTATATCTCGGAAAATATGACACCTACGAAAAAATACCTTATATAGAAAATTGAAGCCCAGACAATTCTCTACAAAATTGGTTGAGTGTATTCATAGGTCTAACCTTTTACGAGTTACAGGGTTTAGACAGACAAAATTAACACTCCTTCTCATATTGTATTTTCGCATTTAAAATCCAATTAAAGTCGAAATTCAACCTTTCATGTTAATAATGATAATATTATGGGGTCCTGATATTATCTTGCAAGTCTTTATTGCATCCTGAAAAAAGTACAGCACAGCATTTAGCGCAGCTACAAATATTGTTGTAGTATACGAAAACCAAGAATAATAGTTCATGGTCCATGATTGCTGATGCACAGTTGAAGATTTCTATCGCCGCGCCGCCTGCAATATAGTTTTCTAATCTAAGTAGCACGAGAGCATGAGGTTTGGTTTCCTAAGGTGTTACAATATTTTAGTGATATTCTATATAATTCCTTCCTGTAGGTACAGTTAACATAAGTGTAATATTTACGTATCTGAACTACCAATCCATCTCACCAATATACTAACAGCCTACATTCGTAGAATTTTAAAAATTATGGGCATATGAAAGCGTCCCATATAACACACAATATCCGCAGGATATTCATAGAATGTCGGAATGTCCCATTATAAGATCATCTTATAAAGACATCTATAGAATATCCTCCAGACATCCTGAAATCCTGTAGATGTCTCAGAATAGAATATCCTATGGATATCTCTGTCGTATATCTAATGTATGTACATCCAGCTGAGATATCCAAACATGCTCATGATAATAAAATATCCTAACAATATCGTCTAGATATTTAGGAAAAATAAATAATGTACTACTTTTTTTATTACATAAAATGCAATAACCCATACAGATAGATATATATTACGTCAAGGCAACAAAATATCCTGTTGGTATCTTCTGGATAATCTGGATATTTATGAGCTTGGCCAATCCCAGTAATACAGAGAATTTAAAACGCCCGCGCAAAAAATGTCCCACAATCCTTCTCGACAGTTGTTTGTTTTTGCATCGTGTATTATTCAGTTCTTTGATTTAGTGAAATTCGAGGTGAATTCGGTCGTTTGTTGATATTGAATGGGCTTAAAAATGACTGAAACTAATAAAACTGGTTGAGTTTGACTTAGTTTTTTCTTATACTCATAGTTCTAGCACGGCACATAAAACAATCGGCACGCCAACTCTACTCAGATTCCATTGTTTAAAATTTCTATAAAATTTGACCTTGTCGGCGCCATTATGGTTTCCTAGTCAGGGCCGGATTAAAACGTATTAAAAAATTTCTCAGAAAATACGACAGGGTCGTATTAAAAAAATACTGTAATTGACTGAAACTGAATTTTATTTACAATAGTTTTGTCCAAACAAATGAATCGTTAACCGCGCATACTTCTCGAAAAGTAAAAATGAAAAAATCAATTAAATATTTCACTGTAGAGAATCGACAATTAAAATTAAAAAACATGCAACTAACAAAACATGCCAGGAGTTACAAACAAGAATTAAAAAAATACCAATAAAATATTTATTGAACAATATAAAGAGGCTACGTACAAATTATGCCCATCAATGGGCGTAGCAAATTTTATTAATATTCAAATTTCACAAATTAATAAATCCACAATTTTTTTTGAGAAACTTCTATTTTTTTCATGGCAGGAAACAAAGTAGGTAGCGCATTGTATTTTATACGGTTACAAAGTGAATTGGTAAACATTTTAAATTCAAAGTGAACAGAACACAACATGTACTTGTGGGCCTTATTTATATCGTCATTCAAGTCTTCTCCGTTAGCTGCAATTGCCCATGTTCTTGCCCTAAAAATGTATTGTTAACTTATTTTCGATATACTCATTTTATTTATTTTTATAATTTTATTTAAATTAATAATATAATTATTTTTAAATTTAATGTTGAATGTCTAGATACAACATTAAATTTTACTAAATATTTAACATTTTAATCTTGCTAATATTTTATATACATATAGGGTGAGTCTTGAATAAGTGCAAATATTTTCAGGGGTGGTATATTTCGACCCCAGGAACACGTTTATGAGTTTTTTTTCGCTAAAAAAAGATATTGAAAATCGTGCATTTTCTTTTAAATTACGCACACTGCAACGCGCCGAAACGCGGGAGACGGAAAAAAGTTGCTAGAGAAGTCTTTCGACTTGTTGACGGAAACCCCGAGGCGCGCTTCTGCGCTGCGCGCTTCTGCGCTGCGCGCTCTAATGTGCGTTGGTCCATTTAAATACATGGCAAGCAGACAAAAGAAATTTCCACATGGCGCCGCGCCGCCGTCTAGTGGGCGACAACCTTTAAGGTTGTCGCCCACTAGACCGCGGCGCGACGCGGCGCGGCGCCATGTGGAAATTTCTTTTGTCTGCTTGCCATGTATTTAAATAGACCAACGCACATTAAAGCGCGCAGCGCAGAAGCGCGCCGCGGGATTTCCGTCAAGAAGTCGGAAGACTTCTCTAGCAACTTTTTTCCGTCTCCCGCGTTTCGGCGCGTTGCAGTGTGCGTACTCACAAGGGAAATAATTTTGCATTCGAGTCTTTTCAGTTGGCTTTTTGACTAGGAACTAGTGATATGTATCAATGGCAGAATTGTATTTTTAAAGGTAAATTAGGCAAATCGATTTTCATAAAGGAATATGATATTTTTTTTAGTCTTCCCTCACTAGAGACAGATGGACGAAATGCCTTTCTATCAAAGATTTAATATAATTGAGGGGTGTAGAGGCAAAACTGGCAATCTCCACTTTTTAACAAAAGTGACAATCTCCAATTTTTAAATTCTAATTACCTAAATATATAAAAAAGATCAGGGTTTTTTTGACCACATAACTAATATACACATCAGAATAAATAAGAATTATCAAAAATATTAGTAATTTGTCTCTTCTGAAAAAATATGATGAGTAGATATACCCGGTGTTTTTTCTTCTAAAACCCTCAATTGAGGAGTGCGTAAAATGTTTCCTTTATATTTTGTAATACTGAAAAAAATGATTTTGTCTTTTATTAAATCTGGAAAAAGATGGTAAAATTCTCCAAACTTCTTTCTTTTTTTGTTAATCGTATGAGTCCAAACTTTTCCTCACCCCCTCTTCCTCTTCCTCTGTTAGAAGAGCACAAAAAATACGCTTTCGTCCGTACTTGAACTCATTGCTTTAAAAACTAAACTACAGACTATAACTAAATAGCGTTGCCACGTTTCAAAAGCGCGCTATAGTGGGTGCAGTCCCTTCGCAGCCGGAAAAAATTCTCTTCCCAGCGCCGCGCCGCGCAGCGGTCTAGTGGGCGACAACCTTTAGCCTGCCGTGTGATTTATATGCCGTGGTTCTAGCCTTGTTCTAGCAGAAATTCTATCCTAACCTCAACTAATGTCGAAAAACGACGA